GACGGAGCAGCAGAAGATGCTGAAAATATAAACAGTTGCTGATTTCAATTTCTGCTGAGCTTTTGAAACTCTTACCCTGCTCTGGTACTTTCACTTCCTGTTTTCTTTAATGATATGCACTTTATTCACCACATCCCTCTAACATTTACAGAGGTGTCGAGGAGTCGGAGCTTTTCTCAAAGCAGGCGCTGCTTCTAATCAAAATCCTCTTTTTTTTTCTGTTTCGCTTCTCCAGGCGCGAGAGCCTCAGATGGTGAGCTCACACATAGTGACCGTGTCTGGTTTGTTGCCGTCTTCCACCTACAACTGCAGCGTTACCAGCTTCAGCTACAGCACACCCAGCAAGCCTGCTCACATTTCCATCACCACTGCAGGTAGGTGGAGCTACTTAGCATCAAATGGGTCCTTTGATTTTGTGGGACGGTGGTCTCTGATTGGTCCTGATTCCTTGTGTGGCTACAGCTAAAGAGATGAACCCCAGTGTGGCAGCCATCTCGGCTCTTGCCGTCCTCAGCGTCCTGCTGGTCAGTTTGCTCGTCCTCTTCCTGCTCATCTTGCGCAAGAAACACCTACAGATATCAAGGTAGGTAATGGCAGCCAGCACAGCATCGAAACCACATCGTCTTCGTAAGCATGTCTTAAAGCAGTTGGTTTTCTTTGAAGCCAAGTCCAGTGTTCAAGAGACTACATTTACAAAAATGTCATTGGTTGAAGAAGGAAAAACAGCTCCAACCCTTAGCAGTGGTTGATTTTGCTGCCTCATCATATTCACATTTCTAACTTCCTATTTACGTGTTTCTCAGCTGTGACCCGCCATGTGACCTGTTTGACCTGTGCGTGGCTGTTTTGTGTTACAGAGAATGTGGAGCCGAAACGTTTGTCAACTTCGCGTCATTCGAGAGAGACGGGAAACTTCCCTACAACTGGTACGATCTTAGTTTTTGTGTTTTCACATCATTGGGATGAAAATAACCTCATCGAATTAACGTTAGCCTCGGGGCTTTTAAAAGGACCAATCGGGGCCAGACTAGCAACAGGAGATTTTTTTTTTTTACCGTTTTTAACAGCCTCAGGCTGAAAAGGTGTTGATGATAAACTCCGCCATTCTAAACCATCTTAACTTAAGTCCGTTTTTATTGTTTTCTTAGTTTGATCTCTTTAGGCCTTATTTGTGTTTAGTTCTGTTAGTCAGACGATTGTTCTCTGAAGGACAGCTGAGATTCACATTAATATAAAGGCTGAAAGACGGTCAGTTAAGGCAGAAGCCCGACTTCCATCTGCTCTTGTTTTTGACCTCCATCACTAAACACACGTGTCCATCATGTCTTTTTACTGTGACAGTGGTTGTGTTTATGCTTTGACTGTGCACATCAGCAGAAGTAGAACAAAAGTAGGAATGTCTGACTGATGCAGATGATGGTCACAAATTTGATCAGAAACAAAGTTCTAAAAACCGTTCTTGGAGGGGTTCTCCCTCCCAGGCCCTGTTGGTTTACTCCTGTGTCCTTTAGTCTGTTGTATTGGACTGACATCTATCTGCACCAGTCTTCCATGTCTTCAACACTAATGAGGTCATGACGATGTTTATGGTGACCATCACGTGGATTGACGTCACCGCCAGGTTGCAAATCGTAGGACTGTCTCACACGATAAGTCTTAAGTGTTACATTGTAGGCCGGTAGGACGCAGTGATGTCACAGACTCAGGCTGGAGGTTTGTTTAAAGAACAGAGCAGCCATTGACGTCCAGCAGCGAACAGACTCCTGTTGTCTTTCTGACAGACAACGGGACACTTTCTGAGCGGCTGCATGATGCATTAACTCTGTGTTCAGCACTAATGTGCCTCTTTACTAATGGAGCACCATGTTCTGTCCCCAACCTGTCGTCCCCTGGTGTCTGTTTTCTTTATTTTGTGTGTGTGTGTGTGTGTGTGTTTTTTTTTTTTGGTTTGTTTCAGAAACAGAACCCCCTTCAGGCGAAGAAGCCTCTTTGCCTTCCTTACCCTACTGCCATCCTGCCTTTGGACTGACTATCTTTTGGCTTTTTATATTAATCCTTGGTAAGTAAGCACCTGCTGGCCAAATCACTGCACTACAAAAAGCATACGGTATCCAAGCCAGCCACGGTGTTGACCAGAGGCATGGTTTCATTCTGCAACACCAGACAATCATATCTAAATCCAGAACTCCAGGAGTCCTGTTTTCAGCAAATCCCATGGGTTAGAACCAAAACCAAAACCAACAGAAACATTTGAATGACAATCAAGAAACATTACTGAGCCGTTTGGTTCTTTACCTAAAAAGATCACGTCCTATGCAGATGACGCTGAACTATATGCAATGTCAGTTCTCTAAAAAGTGTTTCTCTAAAACCAACAATTATATCAACAGTCAAATGCATCACAATTAAGAAAAAAAACAGCGATGTACCCGATTTCACTCGTACTCCAAAAGTATTTCTCTCTCCAGGTACCAGCAGTATGACCAAGATTTGAATAAAAATCTATAAATGACATTAACAAGTTTCAGTATGGAAACAGAACATACAACTTTAAGTCGTGGTTAATTCTTAGATTAGATGTTTTTAAATGATAAGGTCTCTCTTATAAATGTTATAACTTTAATATAATTTATTTGGTCCTAACATGGGATTTGAGAAAACATGAATGACTTATATTTACACGCAATTCTTAGATTAGATGTTTTCAAATGATCAAGTCTATCTTATAAATGTTATAACTTTAATATCATCTATTTGGTCCTAACATGGGATTTGGGAAAACATGAATGACTTATATTTACACGAGGGTTCTGTTTAATTTTGTCGTACGCATGAAGCCAAATTAAACTGTGTCTGCGGTCCAACACTTCAAGGTTAAACTCTTTTTTCTAATGTGCAGTGTAGCATGATGCTAACTGTCAATAGACTGTGGCTCTGGGTGTTTGCATGCGCCCTGTTTGTCTTTACTGTAGCAGGTAGACGTTGCTTGTGCTTGTAGATCATTTACTGCAGTTTTAAAGTGTAAATACATGTTAGCATTTGTAGCCGTTACAACTGCATGATTTTGTAGAATTAAACATTCGAACACATTCAAAAATTAAAAGCATGAAATGGTAAATATGCTGTGCAAATGTAAATGACGGCATGCTTTATCTTAGATTATTATTTATTCATATATAGTGACAGTATTTTAATTTATTTGCATGTCATGAAAGAGAAAAAAATATATAAATAAATCAAAAGTTATATTATCAAATTTGGCATTGATATAATGTTTTTGTTTTTTTTATTTTATTTCACTTTAAATTTAGTCCAAATTCAGTTGTAACAATAATATTTCCCTTAACTAAAACCTAGTGTTTGTTTTTTTGTTTTTTGTAGTTACTGTCACAGAAAAGGTGTGAAAAAAATTTACACTTGTGTATTTTGTAGGAGCAAGACAGCTTTAAAGAAACGGAGACTAACAAGGTAACCAGACTAAACTGTGACAGGTGGCTTCCAGTTGTGTTTCAGCTTCGCCAGTCTCTGGTTTTATTCGTTCATGTTTTTGATTTAATCCACGCGCACTCGTCTCTGTGTCTGTTTGTTTATGCTGCCATTACACTCATTACACAGCCTTCAGCCAGAAAATGTCTGAACTGAAACAAAAAAGTAAACATGAGGAAGTGAAGCGAGTTTAAAGATAGAAAAGAAGGATTTAGACCTCGGTAGAACATTTATATTCAGACAGAGAAGAAAACAGAAACTAATATGGCTACTAAAACTGAACAAAGGGGAAATATTGAAATGTAAAAAAAACACAATGGCACAAGAGAGAAAAAGAGAGAGAGAGAGAAAAGGTCATATAGAACAGTTCAAAATAAAACAAAATAAATAAAACATACAAAATTTGTATTTTCTTTATCTAAATATTATACTCTGTGTATTGTACTGATAACAATCATCTTAAGTTCAAATACTGTTTTCAGAAATGTGACGTGTCATGAAAATATGGACGTGTAAAACTGAATTTTTGAGTTTTTTTAATAAATTCATTAATTTAAAAAATGTATAAATATTTGTGGGCAGGTAAAACTTATTACTCTTTTTTATAAACCATTAAAATTCTGTGATCATGTTTTTCTGAGCCCTTAAGAAATTTGTTTAAAACGATATTCAGTGAACAAATGCAATGTTATGATGTTTTTTTACTGTGTTGTTTATATGTAATGTGTAATATATATATATATTTTTTTAATTTCCAGTCCGGTTCAGCTGGATGACTTCGAGGCCTACTTTAAAGAAATGAGCAAAGACTCGGCCTACAAATTCTCCCTGCAGTTTGAGGTGCGTTCACTGACAACCAGGATTTATATCAGTAGTACATTCTCTAATGATGATGTTGAATGTGGACAGTGCCCACAGCGTTAAATTTCACTCCAGTTAAAGGTGAAGAACTTCAAATTAACAAGATGAAAACTGTATATTTATATTATATTATTTTTACAGACAGATTAAATCTCATTTTGCTGTTGTTGTTCAGGAGTTGAAGAGTGTTGGTTTGGATCTTACCCATGATGCAGCAGATCTTCCGGTCAACAGACCCAAGAACAGATACACCAACATCCTTCCCTGTGAGTCCCTTTAATGCCGGAAAAAAAAAAAGAAAACGATTTTTAATCCATGATCCATGACAACACAGAGCATTTACAATTTAATTTCCTTTTTATAACTCGTTTTTTTTTTTTCTGCAGACGACTTCAGTCGAGTCAAACTGATCTCCATGCACAACGATGAAGGAGCTGATTACATCAACGCCAACTACATACCAGTGAGGAAGTTACTGCAGTACAACAACGACATCAAAACTTTAACCACAAATCAGACTGAAACTAATATTGTTATATACATATTATATTACACATATATGTTTAATAAATAAAACAAATATATATGTATAATGAAGAAGAAAAAAACATATACAAGTCCAACCAGCTAGATAGAGTGCCATCTAGTGGCTGTCAGTGTAAAAAAAAAAAAAAGATCATGCAAAATTATATATTTTAATATATAAGTCACACTTGAGTATAAGTAGCAAACCCAGCCAAATGATGAAAAATGTGTGGCATATAGTCTGGAAAATACAGTATATACACATACACATATTAGGGCTCTGAAGCAATCAAAAGTGGATTAAAAGTGGATTAATCACAATTAATCGTGATCATAACTGGACATGATTAATCATGATTGATCAAGAAAAATTGTACAACGAAACATTGAAAGACAATTAATACATATTATATCATATATTATTAATATGGAAATATGTCCAAAAAAAAACATTGAAAGACAATTAATACAAAATTATTAATATGGAAATATGTCCAAAAAAATATTAAAAAAGTTAAACATTTACCTTCATGGAGTTTCGGTCATTACTGTGCATTTAAACCAGACTCTGACACTTGTTTTGTTGCAGGGTTACAAACACTCAAAAGAATACATCGCCACCCAGGGTCCACTGCCTGAGACACGAAACGACTTCTGGAAGATGGTTCTGCAGCAGAAATCTCCCATCGTGGTGATGTTGACGCAGTGTAACGAGAGGCGGAGGGTTGGTCTCTCACTTTCACTTCAGCTGTCACTGTTGTCAGCCAATGACACGGCTTCATTTTAACCCTGACCGTCGCTGTGATTTCAGGTGAAGTGCGACCACTACTGGCCGTTTACAGACGAGCCTGTCATGTATGGAGAAATCAGCGTGGAGATGCTCACAGAGACTGAGTCTCCAGAGTGGACCATCAGGAAGTTTAGACTGGGATACGTAAGTTCAGCATCCAGACGAGGGGAACCTAATGATGCTAGTTTTTATCAAGTCCTTTTGGCGTCCTGGTTTTTCTTACGTATTTTCAGTGTCAGGATGCTTACAACACGAGTGAAAGCCATAAGACAGTACTATTTTCCCACTGACTTCAATGTGTCTCCGCTGCATCGCCCCCTACAGGCTGATGAGAGTTGTGACGTCCTCCATCTGAACTACACCTCGTGGCCCGATCACGGCGTTCCCACGGTCAACGCCATCGAGAGCATCCTGCAGTTTGTCCATATCGTCCGTCAACAGGCAAACAGGACCAAAGATCCGATCATCGTCCACTGCAGGTCAGGTCACACATGAGAGCAGATAAGTGAAGTTAAGCTAACATCCGTTGACATCTTATTGTTGACTAGTGAAGGGTCTGTGATAGGTTCTTTTTTTACATGTCCAGCCTTCTTGCCAATCAATAAGCTCTGATTGGTTCTTGCCTTTACTTGTTCCTCATGTTTACATGGTGAAATCAGCACTGATTGGTCCCTGCAGATTTTTCCCTCTCGTTGCAACCAACTAATGCAATACTGTCATTTAGCCCGATATTCCTGGTTTCGTCATAGTCATAGACTTAATCTTTGAGGAAATCACTCTTCACCTAAATGGTAGCAGATGAAGTTGATTTTCTTGAGAGCTTCCGAGATGCAGATTGACAGAGCAGGAAGTCAGACCCATAAAAGGTCAATTAGGTCAATTAGGATGAAGTCATTTCCATGGTGTCGTCCTTCTGCTCTGTCTGAGGTGGTTACAGTAACAGTCTGTCTCTGTCTCCTCCTCAATCAGCGCTGGAGTCGGCAGGACTGGGACATTCATTGCTCTGGACCGTCTCATGCAGCACATCAGAGAACACGAGTATGCAGACATTTTGGGGATGGTTTCGGAGATGAGGTCACACCGTCTTTCCATGGTCCAGACTGAGGTGAGGAGTCCGAAAGTCCAGTTGGCTCTGATCACTTGACGTTGGCGTGAAGTTAACTTATGTTTCCTTCTTGTTTCAGGAACAGTACGTGTTCATCCACCAGTGCGTCCTGCTGATGTGGCAGAAGAAGAAACAGCAGTCCATCACCTCTGGCGTCATCTACGAGAACGCCAGTAAGACATAAGGACACGCCTCCAGACGTTCTCTGATACATCCACCGTCCAGACCCCAGGTGTCTGTTTCCAGCAGAGGAGGAAGGGGCACTGCTTCATCGTCAGAATCAACAAACCAATCTCCCGAAACGTTGACAACACCAGTAAAATAAAAACCAGTTTTTGTTTGACCCAGACTGAGAACCCATGAGCGCTGGGTGCTGATTGAACGCAATTCTTTTTTTGTATTTTTTAATCTCAGGAGTTATGCGCCGTCCTCTTTCTCTGTTTTGACATCATCAGTATTAGTCACATGTTGCTGCTTCATCTCATGGTCTTTGTTTGGCCGCAGATATCGACACTCCACTGCCAAACGTAGAAAAACAAAAAGATTTTAGAAATCACGCCTGCTCCAGTGTGATGATTCACTGCCAGGAGGCCAGTACGGAACACACATCAGTCCAGTGAACACCAGACGTTCTTTTAGGTTTGACATTTTGGAGGTCAGTTCAGCTCCCCCTACAGGTAAAACGTGAGCCTTCAGGTTCCACGATCAAATGTCTGCACAAGAACCTAAGGCACAAGAGGAGTTTCGATCAGAGCAACTGAGGCCCTCAGCTGTTGCGGAGGATGGAATTTCGTTTTGTTGCTGCTGATTCTGCTTCTCTTTGTCAACAATGAGAACGTTTCAATTTCCTTCTGTCCAGGACGGAGACCAACTGCAGGCGAACAAGGAGAGTTCTCACCTCTCTACAATCGGCAGATCGACAGATCATGTCTGACAGTAAAAGACTGAATTAGTTCATCTGTCAAAACCAGAATTTAAATAATTAACAACAGATTACAACTATTTTAGACTTTGACAGTTGCTCATATTTACAGTCACTGATTTTGTGCTGATGCCCCAATTTATTCTGGCTTCACAAAATTTGGTACAATTTCTATGAAATGGTCTAAAGCAGATGTTTCAAACTTCCAGCCCATGGGCCACTTCTGGCCCACGAAACCCCCAAAACTGGTCTGCACACTGGTCTGCATCTAGATGTCAATAATGATTTGATGTTGCTTTGATTTTTTTTAAATGTTATTTTCAATTGGTTTTCTTCGTTTATCCATTAGTTACTCACTACAAATTACTCATTTGCGCTGTTGTATTATACAGTATTTTATAAAAGTCCTTTTTATTTTTCAATGTGTTATTTGCATTGTAATGCATTCATTGTAATCAACCTGTCCAGCCCATAATGTTACTTTATTTAATGTCCTGCAGCGTTGAAGACATTAACTTGGTTTTAGAACATTTTAAGGTTAGGCATTTAGCAAAAAAAAGTAAACTTAAGAAACATTGATTCTACATTTTAAAAAATATGATTAATAATGATTGATTTTTGAACATCAATAATATACCAATATATTTTATTTTATTTAATTTTTATTGGGGTCAAATTTGTTACTTTTTATTTAAAAACAATTCAGACCAAATTGGAACATTTTGATCAAAACAGTGACTTTTGTTAAATAATGAACTGAAACAACATCAGTATTAACATGAGGTTTGACCTGGGTTAAGATTTGACCTTAGTTTAGATTTGACCTGGGTTTAGGTTTGATCAGGGTTTAGGTTTTTGATTATTAAAATCGTGACTCTCTGACAAACAGAAGGCCGTTCATCTCTTCTGTGATGAATCACGTCTGCCTCTCTGATCATATCCAGCTTCATGAGGATCATTTTAATCCTTTCACTTTTTTTCTACTGAAGATTTTTGAGAACAGAAAGTCTTTGTCTCTTTCACTGTAGACGGCGTAGCTGAACAGACGAGCGGTCGACCGGAGGCCAAAGGTTGAAATCTAACTTTTTCGCTTCATTCTACATGTTGTCGTCAAAGTAAAAGCACAGGTTGTTCTCAAAATAAAAGCACAAAGTACACAAACTGCATTAAGTGAAGGAAGAGGAGCAAAGAATGATTTTTTTTTAACCTCAAATTAAATTATTAAAATTTTGAATATGCTACCATTGTACCACTAAAAGACCATAAATTAATATAATCTAATAAAAAACAAAGAGATAACACTGAATGCTACTGAAATAGTAAATCAGAAATCTACTCCAGCATGACATTTATCTGATCAGTTTTTCTAAGGAAATTATTCAAATAGTAGAAAAAAAGGATCAAATGTAGCCACTGTGCCTGTACCAGTAAAAGTGTCCAAATATTTGGACTGTCAAATTCCAAAATTGAAAAAAAAAAAAAGTTTAGCTCTGTCATGTCACACTGGGGTTGGTGCAGTTACTGCTTCTGTGTGACCTTAAAAAGTTTATGAATTAAAATGTTGGCTAATGAAGTAGAATAAATAGTAAAAATTTATATTGCATGCCAACTGTCAAGTGTGGTTGTCATTCTCGGATATTTGTAAATGGTGGCATTTCTAGAAGAATCTTAATTGTTAAATTTGAGAAGCAAACACTTGTTTTGAAAGTGTTTTTAAATGTATAAAAAGGAAGTTGAATTGAGGAATTCTGGTAGACACAGGGTTCTACCTGTACTGCAGTCATTCTGTTTCTGGCGTTCAGGATTAGCAGGAACACGCAGCACTTTATGTCATTTGGATTATCCACGATGTGGTGCTGTGACAGTGTGACTGGTTGATTTCTTTATTCGTTTTTATGTCATTAACGTTGTCCATAAATTCCGATCAGAAATGTCTGAAAAGTAAACCAGTTCATCGTCTCTGTAATATTTCCTTAAGAGATTTTGATGTTTAAAGAATTCAATGCAAACATTCGCAAAAAAAAAAACCCAAGGAAATGTTTTTCCGATCTGATTCATGTTGACCAAAATACAAATTCCTAGGAAAATGTTTACAGACAGGACTTTAGAATGTGCTGTTGATTCACTTTGAACCATCTGTGGCCAATGACCTTCAGAACTTCACGATGCTGTTCACAATGTTAAAAGCTGATCTCTGTTATTTTGACGACACCTTGTCTCCAAACTGTAGAAAATCATTTGAAAACAAATGAGCGTCTGAAGCTTCAGTGTTGACTTGTGACATCCTTCATCTATGTGGCCTTGTGGTTCTAACACCAAAACTCTGTTATCTGTTCCTCGTCCTGGACCCCCCGACGGTTCGGTTCTTTGGTTCCCCGCTGCTCGATTTAAGAAAGTTACAAACGGCTCTTTGTTATCAAATGTACTGTACATATGCTACTGACTTACTACTGCTTCTTCTGTTTCTACTGGTCGCTGCAGAACAATTCCTGTGGTTTGTTTCTTTAAGAAAAGTTGTGTGTTTGGGTCGTCACCGTACCCTGAGCCAGAAGACCTTCCTTCGCTCATCTCTGCAGCGCTCCACTTTACTGGCCGTCATCATTGTAGACATCAACGGTGGACATTTGAAAACTCTGCTGCATCACTTGACTATAGAGAACTCATCAATGCACTTTGGCACAACAGTTAGAAAAAAAAATCTACAGGAAAAGAAAAAAAAAAACACTTTCTGCAGCGACTGTAAACTCTTCTCCAATTTCTTTCTCTTGCTTAGTCTGTTGTCAAACTTTGTGTGTCATTAGTGCCATTGTTGTACTTTGTGTCACCTCATGTTTGAGGATGATCATGTTTTGGATCCTTGTTACAGAGTTTTAATGTGTGTGTTGGAAAAAAATAAATTGTTGCAATTATGCTGTGTTTCTGACAGTAGAAAACTTTCTGCAGACACTTTAATGATTAAAAATGTATAAGTAAAGACTACATCACTGTGACAGGACAACTACGGGGGTTCTGACGGGTTTCGACGTCCTCGACATGCAGCGTTTATAAATTTATTAAGAAAGCCTTGTTGTATCATTCTGACGTATGGCATTAAAACTCACCAACTAGTTTACACAGGAAGTTGTTGGCAAACGCAGTTGACAAATAAGTCATCGCGCTAAGTCATTGTGCTTCATTTGCTATCTTTCAATTGTGTTGCTTTTTGCCCTTCATTAAAGCGAGATTATGGTATCACCACTGTGTTAGCATAGGTGAGTGACTTAGGGGCTAATGTGCAGTATGTGAGAGCCAACTTCCAGCGAAAATCGCGTTATGTCGCACCGTAGGAACGGACCCACTTTATAAGTGTATGTTGATGTGTTTATCTGCCTCACCACTGCCCTCTGTCTGTATCTTGGGGATTTCATAGGAGGAAATGTTTACCAGTCATATCTACAGACCCGAGAAAAAACCTACAAAAACAGAAGTGGGCAGGAGGGAAGTGAGCTGTTTGAATGTATCTATCTATAAATAAACTTATTTGACAAAGTGACACTACATGTAACCCAAACATGGAGTGTACATGTAAATATTTAACTGTTCAGAATAAGAAAAGGTAAAAAAGTTAACCATTTATTTTTTAAATATAGACCTTCCGTTAGTAAGCTATACATCTGGCAGCAATATTAGCTGTGCTAGCTTACTGTGTATTTTCCCGATAAACCGACGTAACATTTGAACTGAGTCGAGTGTTAGCTTACTTACTCACTTGTTTGACCGGTCCACCAAACTCGTACATCGTCAGGTGGTTATTTATCGCCACTCGCTGTAAAACGTCTCCCATTAGTTCGTATCTTGGCTCACAAGCGGTAGGTCCAATCACAATTTAATGGCTTCCCGCTTCTGCGCGTTCCAGAGGGTTGCGTTCGTGTGTTGGCTAATTCGCTAGTCGTTGACAGGATGTTTTATCTACTGCGCACGCGCAGAAAACTACCCCATACTTTTTTGGATACTCGTGCGCGTATCCAAAGCCGCAAATTAGTATAGGCCAGGAATAAAATATCTATAATCAATAAGTGATTATAGTTCTAAATTAAGAAGTAAATTAACCAACTGGTAATTATGACCCATACCCATAGTTAGTGGTAAACAAACTGCACAGCTATGGTGGTCGAATGTCTATTTTATGTCAGTTTTTATTAGATTAACATCATCTTAATCTCCTGCTTTAACAAAGGCAAACACAGTACAATAAATACTGCTTCAGGAATAATCACTATAGTGGACTACAGATTTTGTACTGAAGTACACCTTTTTTGAAGTTTTCAATAGGTCCACGCACAGATTTGCACTCATCACATGGCTTTAGCAATTTAAAGAAGTTAGTGTGCAACTTCAGTCAGGTACCAAAAAAACATAACAATGATTTTCACTAACGTTTTATTGCAGAATGGACAGTCTTAAATGGAAAAGGCACCATGAAAACTAGACGCATACAAATGCAAGTAGTATTTTTTCTGTGATTGGCCTCGAGAACAGTTTGTTCCTGACAAGTTTGACTAGAGACATTTTTGCTTCTTTACTCACTAACAGCAGTGATTCATCTACTACTCATATACACAATGGTGAGTCCAGATCATTAAACACTGATTCTCACATCAATCAAATTTTGCTGTAGTTTATTTGCAGATGACACTCTGATCTATATCCCCAAATTACAAATACAATTTTTTTGACTGCAAAAGTTTAGAATGCGTTCGTGAACCTGCGCGAACGCCACCTCGGTGGGGAATATGATGACTGACCTTTCACTGTGGGTGGGACCCCAAAAAAAACATTCTTAGAATCAAAATGAGCAGTGTTTAGCTAGCAGCAGCTCAAAAACATACCTGATCAAAACTCCATTTTATGATGAATATGCAGAGATGCTGCTGATCGATTAATCTAATAACTAAATCACATAGTAATCATAAATTAGAAAATATTTGAAATTATAATTATTTTTACTTTTTTCTGTAGTTCACTTCTATTAAGAAAGAACATCTATTAATAAATTACTAAATGTTGAGCTTTAGTAACATCAATGTAAAGATTGACGTAATTGTTTGTGCTAAATCTAAGATGTACATTCATGTTTTATTTATATTTTACATTTTCTTAACGATGTCTAAAACAACTCTATCGGTAGTTATTCATCATCTGTTTCAGATTTTCTCAGTATATTCTTTATGAACAGGGCTGAACTCTTCTAAGGTCATGTCTGTAGTTCGTAGTTTTATACTTCACTAATACAATCTTTTTTTCTTAGTTTTTGTTTGTGGTATTTCCCCTTTTTTTGCAGTGGTTTGTAGGTGAAGAATTATTGGATGTGAAGGTAATAAATAAATAATTGGCACAAAATCCTAAATAGATCCTGTTGGACCAGCGATTTGATTGGTTCATTTGATTTGAACTGACCTGATCCACCAGTCTTCCAAATTTATGATTAAGAAAATTTGGATTCTTGGAAAAATGACTCCACTAATCACAGCCATTAGTCCGTTAGCCATTAGTGTGGCGCAACCAATTTGTTGGGAATGCGCGTCGGCCAGATTGAGGGCAAAAGTCTTGCACATCTGAAAGACATTGTTTTCTCATGTCTGAACTTTAACAGCTCCCCCTTGTGGTCACATGACCTTCTTAATGGTCAAAACATTTTCCAGGTAGGTTTAGTCTATGGCGACGAACTGAAGACTTCCTGTCTGCGACGCATGATCTCCACAAACTCGGCGTGGTCTGCTGCAGCCTGAGAGCAAAGAGCACAGAGCCAGTGGAGGACAAAAGACAGGAGGTGAGGAACAGGGAGGGAGTCAGTGAGCGCTGCCTTCGTCAAAAGACTCCACCCCCGAGTCACAGGTGCTCGCGGCAAGTTTCTCCTGTCGCCTCCTCATGATCTCCTGTAGCTCAGAGCCTGAGGACTTCTGGAGACACAGAGACAAAAGAGAGGAAGGAGGAGGAGGGGAGAAAGGGAGGGAGGACAAAGGACAACGAGAAAGAAAGGAGGACAAAAGAAAGGTATGACAGCGTGAAATGGGTCAAAGAGGACACGGGGACAAAAGAACAATGGAGAGGAAGAAAGAGGAAAAAAGCACAAGAAAAGAAAACATGTGAGTGAAAACAATCCAGATTTACCATGTTGATCCAGAGACTCTGGAGAGACTGACATCATTTTTTTTTTTTTTTATTTGTATCTATCGATCATGGTTCCTGTCTGATGTTGGCTGATGGCCTTAGGATCCCATGATCTGATTGGCTCACAGGATTTATTAATAAAAAACATTTGGAGTGAGATTTTTTTTTTTTTAACTAAGTGTCCCTCCAGAGTCTCTGCTTATTGTTTACTGCCTACAAAGACTCAGCTGGACATAATCCTCCTCTGACTGCGGTCACATGACCTCAGCTAAACCTCTGGAAGCTTTTGTTCCTGCGAGCTGTGAAGAGTGTGCAAGTATCTACAAGGAAGCATGCTGGGTAATGTAGTGCTCTGAAACTGGTCTCAAAGATTATGCGTACTTTCCTGGTATCTACGAGGGCGGGATAAGAGGGAGTTAAGCCAGAGGTCAGGGGGTCAACAGGAAGTGAGCGCAGATGTTCTGGACCGAGTTCATTAATGGAGTTTAAGGAGAACTAACTGGACTAGAGGACCACAGCAGCGACATGAAGACTGGAGCTACATCAACGCACATAAGATTCACTCTGTAGGCCAGAGTCCAGGTTCTTAAGACCCCGGAGTCTCGACTCAAGTCCAATGTGGATTTCACAGGTTCTGAGTCAAACATAGTAAACCTAGGTTCTAGAAAGTGTAAAACAGGTATTCCTAAATCAGGATCACTGTATTTTTTATCATGAAACGGAAGTCACTCCAAATGAGCTACGATGCTGATGCCAAGTCCAAAAAGTCCAAAGCTAACAGTCCAGATCAGAAGGTTCAAAATCAAGTCTACTGTAATGATCTGTCTGTCAGATTAGTTGACTTTAGTTCACAAAGTCTCTTTTTTCGTCATAGTTTACATCTGGGGTGTCAAACATATGGCATGCGGGCCAAGATCGGCCCGCTAGGGTGTTGAATCCGGCCCGGTTTTTGAATTTTGAAAATAGAAAATTATATAATATATAAAGATTATATAATAATAATAATAATAATGTTTGACAGTCCTGGTCTACATCACTGTCTGGTCCTGTAAGTCTGGCCAACAGAGCAAATCCACAGATTTCATGTGATCCTGATACCTGAGTGAAAGTGGAAACAGACTCAGGAGATTGAAGGAGGGTCAGAAGAAAACCTGCATGGGGCAGAGAAACACCAGAGACAAGAGGACGACCACGGTTTGGGGACAGAAGACTCAAAAAAAAAATTCAAACTTCCTCCATCAGATAGCAAATCTGACCCTGTAACCCATGAACTGATGATGTCAAACAGCAACATGAGGTCACAGGACTTGTTATCTTAGCTTGTGTCTAACAAAACCTTCGTAGCCGCAGATCAGAGAAGAGAGAAACATTTTTAGTTTTGAAACAAATTCAGTTCGACCTCTAATCACTATTTTGTTCGACTGTTAGCAGGCAAACTAATTGTTTTTGCAGAATCTTAGGTCTGCAGCTTCTTCACTTTCACAGACTTTTGTGGCCTCTGCGTCAGCTAGCCAAAGTTAATCAAAGCACAACAATGTAATCAGATACGGTTCATTCAGGAAAGTCTGTTCTCGTCGTTGGTAGGTGGAGCAAATCCAAATGTGTCAGACTCATGTAACCATTCACTTTAGCAACATTAGCAACTCTGGCTACAAATTAGTTCATTGCAGACTAGAGATTTGATAATTGTCTCTAGCATTTGAAATCAAACCACTTTTAATTGTTAAAGGCCAAATATTCACTCCTTCGAAATTGAATTCCTCACCTCTAGGGCCGCCTTCTGTACCATCACCTGACTGTAGACACGAGCGCCATCATCAGGACAAACTGTTTTTAGCTCTTCCTTTTTCAGAGAAAACAGCTGAGCACCTGTGAGTATCCCAAGGCTGGAAATAGTTCTGTGAAAGAGAGGACACGTCTTGTTAGCCTGAGGGCTACATGTCCACCAGGAATTGACTTCCCAGCAACGTCACACACCGCGGACTTACACAGGACTGAAGCCTTTAGCTTCCAACCACGATTTGACCTCCCAAGGCGCCGAGTCGTACGTTATGTTGATAGACGGATTGCTGCGAGGAGGAACCTGGAACTTCTTCTGTGTGCTACGACCAAGCGTCAGTCTGTGCAACAGCTCGTCCTGCACCTCCTCCATGTTGGACTTTCTGCCTGCAGGGGACGACAAGACACGACGAGATGTCAAAGAAAAACAAAAAAAAAACAAACAAAAAAAAAAACCAACCATTCGAATGTTTTTCTGGGGACGTGGACTCACGGTTGGAAGTTGGCAGGTTCTGGTTGTTGCGATCCCTCATGGTGACGGTGCCCTGGTCACTGGATGTGCTACTGTTCTGGCGGCTGATGGCGCTGTTCCCGCCAGCAGTGGGTTTCGCGGGCTCAGCGGCTGGAGGAGGCAGTGGGGGGGTCGGGAGCCTGGCAGGGGCCGGTGGGGAGGGGGAGGTGGGCGTTGTCGCTGCTCTACTTTGGATGAGGTCAGTCCTGGACGTCTGTTTCTGAAAGGACAAACGATTTTGTTTTTGTATCTAATGTAGCAGCTCAACGTGTGGTCATGCTAACACTTGTTTACCTCATTCAACTCGCCCAGTAATTGCTGCCGGTGTCAAAAAAACAAAGAAACGTGTTGGTAAAGAAACAAATGTTCTCAAAACTTCTGTTATTTTTTATTTCACAGCAAGCCCACAGCAAACTAAACCTATGGAGGATTCGACTCTACGCTGATGACTTCATTGACTACACTCTTAAAGGGAGACTCTTTCTACAGAACTAGGGCTGTCACTTTTTAGTTAGTAATTAAGTGGTAGTGTGGGAGGTATACGGGTGGGGTGGTTACAGTCAACCTGTTCCGGGGAGTTGTTTATTAATAAGGTGAATTTTACAGCCAATTTTTGTCTTTGTCCAATAGACCAGTGTTTCCCAAACTTTTTTTCTGGGGACCCATATGTTTTTAAAGTCACAAATCTTCGCTACCCAAGTCCATAGACATTTTTCGTAAGCTCCTGGAAAACATGATGCGAAACGCCCCAAAAAAAAACAAAACTCTTGCGACCCACCTGAGGGTCGCGACCCAGTATTTGGGAAACGATGTAACAGATGACTCTTATTAAGAATAAATGATCTCCATATACTGGCTTGATCTGTACTGGTGTCAAATTATGTAGTTTAACTGTTAATCTAAATACAAAAATATTACAACGATTATTTGAAATAAAATAAGCAGGAAAATATTTTGGTAAAAGGTGACAGCCACTGTGCAGGAAAATATTTTGAAAATATTTTGGTAAAAGGTGACAGCCCGGAGAAGGACAGGTGACAGTTCACTCTCAATCGTCGTCCTACCTTAAACAACTCAAACTCCTTCTTTGGCATCATTAGCTTCATTTTTTTAAACAAAACAAAAGAGTCATGAGATGAGACGGTCCTCAGATGCAGGGAATTACAAATGGACACAGATGTCGGCTCCCTCACCTGGATGGTGTGGCTGTAGACGGGCTCAGCGCGGCCGGTCACATCCACCGACCTGGTGACCTGCAGGATGTTGTTTGGCACGTAACCTGACACGCCTTCACCGTTACAAACCTTCCACCACTGCTTCCTGTCGTCAAGGACCTGGAAAGATAGAATTTAAACTAAATGTTTGCTTAAATTTCTGCCTGAAGAAAAAAAAAAAATGTTTACCTCAACAACCTCGTCTTTGAGCACAGACAGCTCCGTGCTGTTGCGTGCCACAAAGTCATATTTAGATTTGGCAAAAAGTTTTGGTCGAGCAGAATCGAAACCTCTGGAATAAAAAAATAGAATTATGAATAAGTATTTACACAAAATGACATTACAATTATTGACATTTATAGATTTTTTTATTTAGCTTGACTAATGTGTGGATCAAGACTTGATGTCGACTACACTGGAGCCATGGAGTAGTGTTCCAAAGAGTGGAAAGAGAATAAGGAATTTAAAGATGTTATTATTTAAAAGTCGGAAATTATCATTTTCCCTAATAGACAAAAGAGAAGAGTCGGAATCGGAAACATTCAGAGTTACAGAGATTATCTTAGATGTAAGACCCCAGTGGGAACAGTACTCCATGGCGTCACGTGATCTCGGTGTTACCGGTCGACCCTGCGGCTGAGGGCGTGTTTGAAAGCAGCCACAGCAGTGTCCTGATCCAGAAACTGCCTGTGTTTAAAAGAGTTGGAGAAATCGTACCCGTCTGTGGAGGAAAACGCCTGTGGTGCCCCCTGCTGGACAGACAACGACACAGCAGCTAAGTGAAACATGAAAAAACATGAAACGTCCAGGTGTTGTTTAATTTGTGTTAAACTGACGCGTACCTCCTGAAACAACCTGGTGCTCTGGTCGTCTTGTCTTTGGATCCCTACACTGGTTAGGCTCTCGGCTAACTGGGCTAATTTGCGCTCACGAGCCGGCGTCGGTAAAGCTGGCGGCTCCCAGCCGTCCCGAAAAGTCAGGACACATGGCGGGAAATACTGATCTTTGGGCCACTCCAGCCTGGAGGTGCAAGAAGACAGGAAGAGAAAAGTTTCAGTTTGTTTAAAAATTTAAAAACGGTACAGTATGTGTAACAGAAGTGGAACTTAGCCCAGAATGCCCCCTGTTGGTCACATCGCCACCGCTGCCTCACCTGCACTTCGTCCATCCATCTCCCAGTGCAACCCATAGATGTCTCTCTTCTGCCGTCCCTGCCTCATGCAGGAATTCGATGGCGTCTCTGGTCAGCAGAGGAACCACGACGCTGCGGGCCAGGTCCGGGCTGCCGGACGCCTGGATCACCTGAGGGGAAGAACACAAGCGTCAGAGTTTATTTATCACCGAGCGCAGCGACAGCAACAGTCGGAGGCTGACCATCTTCAGAGGTGCGAAAAGGAAGTGAACTAAATCCATGGCACTGGGGTTTTGGATGTGGTCCTTCAGCTTTGCCTGAGGGTCAGAACAAAAGAAGACACGGGTTGATGTGAGGTCAGTGAAGGCAACGCCAGCAGCGTTACAGACCAGTGACCTGAACACGGAATTGAACTCCCCACCAGCTGGTTGAAGGCGTGTTTGAACTTCTGCAGGCAGTCGATGAACTCGTCCTCAGTGGGAGGTTTGGAGCGCAAAGTAAGCACGCCCTCTGGTGGTGGCACGGAGAAAGACAGCTATTAATCACGCCCAACAAGGACCAAGGACCATGTGGAAATGTAACGGACTAACCTCCTGGACTTTTCTTTTTTCCTTTCTTCACCTTCTTCCTGCTGGACAGCTCGTTGAAGGCCTCGGCAGCTTTCCGTAGTCTGGTGATGAAGAACTCAATGTCGTCCAGGATGTGGTTCAGGATTTGCTGAAAAAGAACAGAAGGTTTTTCTTAAATAGATGACTCCTGACGATCAGCTGACCTCAGGTCACACTTCACTCACCACGTCTCTGTCGACTTTGGCGGCCGTCATCTCCACTGAGCCATAGTCGTCTGACAGACTCTGTGGTATCTCATCTATATGAAAATAAATTTAAAAAAATTATTTATTTATGTTTATGTAAAAATAAATTAACAAAAAAAAATTTTTTTTGCTTTTACTTAGAAATTTCAAATGTGTTTTTATTAGTATTTTTAACCTTAAATCTTACTTTTATGTATGTTTTACTGATATTTATGACTGGTAATTATATCTCATAAATATTAAAACATATTTTTGAAATGAAATTATAAGACCTCAACAGTCTCTATTTTCAGTTTGTTAAAATCAAAAATGTTTCAAATATTTATCTGGTAACTGGACAAATACTCACAGTCCTGCTGCTCGCTGGTCCACGCCGACCACGCAGCTGCACGACTTTTCACGTCCACCGGGTCGGACGGAGGGGGCGGTTCAGGGGCAGGAGCAGGGGGTGGAGGTGGGATGAGACCATCACTTTTCAGGATCATCCTGCAGTGGAGGAGTGAACGTTTGAGTCAGCCAATCAGCTCTCAGCAGGGCAAATGTTATGAATGAATAATTATACACCGTCTTACTTCAGAGTCTCTGGACGTTTCTTCACTTTTCCTCCTTTGGCGTCGATCATGGCACTTTCAATGTCCGCGTGGATCAGGTTCGCCTGAAATTAACGTTATTACATTTCACGATAAGAGCTGGGTATCGATAAAAAATGTGGATACCAATGTTGATACCTACATTTTGATATCAGTTCCTGAACGATACTTTTTTTGACAAAGCATTTTTTGATACTTGGTCCCAAACTTTTTTTTCTGGAAACGCATATTTTAAAAGTCACAAACCTTCGAGACCTAAGTCAATAGACATAATTCGTAAACTCCTGGGAAACATGATGCGAGACGACCCCAAAAAAAATATTGCAACCCACTTGAGGGTCGCGAGCCAGTCTTTGGGAAACAACACATTCGGTATGCAGCCCTATTCACGATCGTGCGACATTTGTAAACGTCAACATATTGTTCCATTAATCGGTGTTCCACAGGGATCAACGTTAGCCTTTGCCTAAAACAATACGATTTATAATAGCAACGCGCTCATTATCAACTATGTATAAACTAGCTATCTAAGTAGCCAATCACACAGCAGATATCCAGGAACAGGGAAGAAGTGAAGAAAGTCCGAGCTGCTCTACCTTGATGTCGTCACACTGGAACAGGTGCAGGTCAGGTTTGCTCTGACCGGACTCCTTACAGACCAGAGCCAGGATGGAGTCGTAGCTGCAGGCCTTCATCACGGCCTGACAGTGTTGGACGGTACCGATGGGAAACCTCTCCAACTCGTTCTGATTTAAAAAAAACAACACAATCAGATAAACGAACTTCAGGCGTGTGTGTTTCCGGGTGTGAACATGACTAAAGCCGAGGCTCACGTTGGTCTCCTGGTCCATGAGGCTCACGCTCTTCTCCTCCACCTGCAGCAGTATCTCCTGAGTCCACACCTTCCCTTTGGCATTCAGCAGGCGCAGACGCCTGATCCCGTCCTCCACCGTGATCATGCCATCTTTACGGTCTAAGACGAACGTGGTCAGGTGCTGAGGACACCGACAAAGACAAGAATCGGCTGTTTGTTTGCAGCACATCCACATGAAACCTAGGCTGACTGATATTATCTCGAAACAACGGTGACTGTGAACCAAAACAATCAGTGATTTGATTTATTTGGTTTATTTCCGGTAGTCAAACATACAGCCCGCGGGCCAAAACCGGTCCGCTTGGGCTTTCAATTCGGCCCGCCTGATGAATTTTAAAAATAAAAGAAAATACACAAAGACTTCATTTTCAGGAAATGTTTTTAAAACATTTCATTAAATATGACAATTTATCTAATGTACTTTTCTGCATGAAAACAAATATAGACTTTTTGTTATTTATATGTTAATCTGTTATGATTGTCCTGGTCCGGCCCACTTTAATTAGGTTGTATGCAGCCCCTGAACTAAAATGACTTTGACATCCCTGGTTTATTTAGTGTCGCCTACTTCAGAACATTTACACGTTTTACACACCACCACCAACAGAGGGCAGTGAATCAACAGTTCGTCTCTGCCCAGCAGCTAAAAACATGACTTTTCTCTGTGGACTTTGGAACAGGAGAGCCGTCAACAAAGAGCAGAGAGACTCTCTGATAATGTCACACAAAAACAACGGCTGAAGGAATTCCTGAAACACTGCGTACGTTCAGTAAACATGGATGTTCTCACCTCTACGTGATACTGCGACGTGTCCGTCAAACTGTTGATGCTGTTTTTGGTGAAGTGTTTTCTTTGTTCTGCAACGAGAGGTCAAGAGGTCAAATGACGTTCTTGTGTGAACAAACAACAAAGAAAAAACCAAAGGGTGAGTTTCTTATTAATTGTCATGGTCATGTGACTCAATGATAACATGATACAAACGTTAAAACAAGGTCAACCAAGGGTCAGACACAAAAAAAAAATCAGCCGTTACCGTGGACAGCAACTGTACATCAGTTGAAGGATCATTGAATTTTCAAAATAAAACATCTTTCAGACTTTATTCTGTCAGTATCAGAGTCTGAATGACCTTTGACCTGTTGTTTTGAAACATTGTCAGATTATCTTTGAATGAAAAAAGTAAAGGGATTTGACTGGATTTTTTTTGAATGAAGTAAATTAATAAAACTGAAGGACATTTTTTACTATGTCCTACTGTGGTCTGGTACCAAATGATCTACGGACCGACACCATTTTACTATGTCCGACTGTGGTCCGGTACCAAATGATCTACGGACCGACACCGGTCCCTGCACCGGAGGTTGGAAATCCCTGGTGTGGTGTATGTGTGTACACGGAAGGCAGATAGGCCTGCTGCATTCAAGGACTGTAGGAAAACTGTGTTTTGTTTAACAAACAAAACATTTGACCCGAGTTAAGAGACTCACACAAACACACAGACACATGCAAACACTCGACACACCGTACACACGTGCACAGACACACAAACAAACAAACATAAAACACACAAACTCACACGCACACTCTGCTCACTGTGACTTTTCTTTTTGTGTTTGGACGACGATCGCAGAAAATAAATGTCCTCCGATTCTGTTCATGTGAAAAATGAGACGAGACGCCGAGGTTTGATGGGACTGAATTATTGACGACATCAACAAACGCTGATGACGGTTCACAACAATCACCGGGACTCAAACTGTGAGTAAACAAATGCTTTTAAATACTGCGGCGGTGATGACGACACTCACCGTACAGGCCTTTGGCACCAGACTTGACCTTGAGTTTCTTGGGCTCTGTGTCGTGTCCACTGTAACACACACACACACACACACACACACACACAGACACACACAGATAATTAAACATTCAACTGTCGTCATGGTCAATGCATCTTACAATAAAATCTCCAGAATCACCGATGAGTTCTTGCTCTCTCATTTACCTCATCAGACATGACATCATCAACACACACACACACACACATTATAATGTGTGTGTAGATGAAGCAGCTGACCATTGACCTTTGACCTGGAAATCCTTGAATGTCCAAATCTGGACCAGGCCCTGGACCAGGATTCAAGACTCAGTCATGATCTAATCTGATCACACTTTGTTTTTCTGTGGTTTTATAGATCGATTGATCTGGACTAGAGTGGGCGGAGTCAGAGTCATCTCTGATGTGACGTCAACATTTGCTGTTGGATGTGGAATGAGACTCGTATAACATTTATAGTTTTTTTCCCTCCATGCTGACATTTGAAATACGGACAAAAAACACAGACGATTCTGATTGGTCAGAACGACACATACTTGATGTGTGAGCTGCTGGAGCCAAAGATGCTGGAGGCGGGGGGCGGAGCTTCATAACCGTTCATCCTGCTACGATGTCGTCGTCGTCGTCAGCTGAAGGAGAGAAACAAAAACAAAAACACCAATGAAAAAGTAGAAGAAGAAGCAGCTTGTTTTTTTCAGTCGATGACACAACGTGGGCCAGGATTTGAACCAGTCAATGACACAACGTGGGCCAGGATTTGAACCAGCAACCTTCCAATGAAAAGTCAGTTCCTTTAACCACTAATCTGCCAACATTTTTGATCAAACACAGACTGTTAATGTGACACTTTTATCTTTTATGCTGACATAACAGCTCATGTCCATATATTTGTTTCTGCTTCTCCTGACCTCTAGGTGACCTCAGATGTGATAAACATGACCCCTAAGGTCATGACCTTAGAACTTAGACCATTAGAACTTCTACTTTATGGACGTTTGGTTCCACATCTACTCATTCGGATAAGCACTAAAACCACAGAGACCTGGATTCTTGGCTTTTTTTCTTATCTTTATTGAAACGTAGCGGCCCTGACACGGATAAAAGAGTCAACGCTGTCTTTTCTCCGCCTCGTTCCTCAATGTTTCCCTTTCTCGGCTATAAAAAAATAGCTGTTGAATTTGAAGATGTCTGTATAAAGGCACGGAGACGGTCGTGACCGGGCTTCCTGTTTACTCTGCAAGGCCAAGTCTGATTACTTTTCCCACTGTTTGCCTCCATGACAACGACACTCTCCGCCTGTCAGACAAAGCTCAGGGAGAACGAGCTCAGAGGACCACAGAGGGGAAAACAACAGCTCGGAAATAGTTCCCTTGAAACTGAAAAAAAAAAAAACATAAAAGATCTCAGAAATGATCGGAATGAATTGTAGTTCATTTCTTTTTTTTAAAGAAGCAACCTCAGAGAACAACCTCAAAGAAACAACTTTTTTTCAGAATAAACCTCACAGGCAGCTCTGTAATGATTTAGGGCTGAATTTTATGCAAACTTCTCAGTATCAGTACGATATATTCATACAAAGAATAAACAGCTGACGCAATATATAATGTTTGAGTTGTGATGCCCACACATGAGCACCTGCGCACACGCACACACACACACGCACACACACCTCTGTATTAAGAAAACACATTTCCATTAATTTGGTTGAAAACACAAAACTGAAACAGTGAGGTCTCCTGATGAAGTGATGTTGAATTTTCACATCCCGTTTGCAGTCTGTTTCATCACACTGTTAATTTCTAACTAACCTTCAAACACACACCCATTGTTAATGAGTCACCAAACAGGAAGTGCTGCCACGCCCCGCTGTTGTTTTACCCAAAACTTTTTGTCACCAAAGTGGGTCACATGGCGTCAGTGCAAATACCGATGACTGCCCATCATTGGAAAAAAGTTTTTTTTCCAAAATTCAATACGTGTACAGTACATTTACAGGTAGAAAGCGTTTGTTTCCGACACACCCTGAACATTTCACAAGAAACACTGACTTATCTTCAGTAGAAAGTACTTTTCTACACAGACTGAAATCCTCCACCCAGTACTTCTGAGCATATTAGGTCATTTCCCAAGGGAGGTTGAAGCGTCCTCAACTTTATCAGCAGAAACTATAAAACGACAGATAACCCTGAACTCATCTCATGTCATCTGAAAGGCTGACACTAAGTTACACACGCTCCCTAACATTTCCTTCGCTGCACATTCAAAGTAGAGTAGAAGCTGGAAGTGAAACACTAAAACCCTGAACACCTCAGACGATGTGTATTATCAAAGTTATCAGAGGCTACAAATCACCAAGGTTCCCTGAACGTCTCACATGCAGGCTGTCTGTTGGCTTAAAGGAACTCTTTATCAGAGATCCTTGAAGGTCTCACGCCCCTCATATCACTGCAGTCACACTGATAACACCAGACGCCACACAAAGTTGACTCAATCCCCCACAATCCTTTGCTGCCTCTCTTTTCAATACCTGTATAAAAAAAATCATTCTGGCTAAATTTACCTGCGTCGGTTTGAAACGTCGTCAGTCTCAGTGTCGGACAGGGAAAAGTAAGAAGGATTAGTACAAAGATTTACACACACACACACACACACACACACACACACAGACGCTTTAATCCTCTGTGAACAAAGGATGCTGGGATACATCTTGTACAACACCACCACGTGCGTTTTTTTGTTTTGTTTAGACAAACAGTGAATGTCCACTGTTAAAGTCAATAATCCCATAATTTGACATTATTCTGTCAGATTAAGCGACACTTTTGTTGTGATCAGTCGAACAAACGCTGAGAACGTAGTCGCTGCGTACGTGTGCGACAGGTTTAACGACAGCCTGACACGTGTGACCTGTGATGACCAGTCACACAGATCAGCTGTGCGTGGATTGATTAATCGTCCTCAGCAGAGATCGGAGCCACACGTCTCTGAGAGCAGCGTCTCGTTTGTCTGACCTACATCCTCAGACTCACTCAGACCTGCTGCTGCAGCTATGGCCGCCGTCCCTAACTGTCTGTTCAATCCCACAAGATCAGCCGGATTATTGATCCGTGCAGCCGGAAAAAGTCATCAGAAAAACAAGCCTGTTCAGTCATTTACCCTCTCACACCAAAGTCCACAGACCTGACTGACCACGGACCACTGACCACTCAGAGTCAAGTCAACGGACTACAACCGGCAGCTAATAATCCACCCTAATCCCTACTCTGCTGAGAGTCGCTGAACAGAGCTGTAATCTGACTGGGATCAAACTGAGTTTTAATAAAACATGATTAACTTCATATAAAACCAGCTCTTTATTCACTGGAGAGGGCGTGTTAATCTGAGAGATCGAGAGTCTCACGGATTAAGGAAAGATTTAAACAAACTTTTTTTTTTTTAAATCAAATCACTGATTTCCAGAAAACTTGGTACGCCCTGTGTAAACCGTGTATTCCATGTCAATCTCTCACAGCGTCCTGTTTCCATCCCATAATTCAAGACAGGCCGTGCCCACGGATCAAGGTAAACACCTGCCAGGTATGGTTTCCATGTTGCCACGGTAACCAATGTCACTCATTCAACAGACGACCTGGAACTTGGGCTTCAGTAAAACGTTTTTTCATACCATTTTCCATAACAGAAACATGACATGTTTACGCAAAAGCTCCGAGACTGGGAAACGTCCACAAATAGAGTCTGTCCCAGGGGAGGAGACACTGAGGGCTTTTTCCCATCAGGCCTTTTTTCCAGGAAACTATTAAAGGCATTGTCCAAGAATTAGAACGTGAAGTTTGAAGAGCTGTGTGACATACAGTAAAGTCCAAAGACACCCCGTCCACAGCTTTGTTGACATTAGCCATTTGTACGTCTGACGTTGGATTGTGCTACGTTTGATTTCTTTAGTTTCTGATGTTTTTTGTCCTAAATTAAGGGTGTCAAACACACGGCTTTGGGCCAAAAACGGCCCGCTAGGGTGTTCAATCCGTCCCGCTTAATAGTTTTGGAAAATACACAAACAATATACAAACACTTAATGTTCAGGATATTATTTGTAAAACATATATTTAATTAAGTAGGAATAAATAGGAATAACTATCTAATATACTTCTTTGCATGAAAACAAAGGGGGAAACATGGACTTATTGGTATTTATAGGGAATCATGTTGTGACTGTACTGGTCCGACCCACTTGACATCTATTTAGGTCTGTATGTGGTTGGACACCACTGGTTTAGATCATGATGTTACTTCTGTGTTAGCGTAGGTGAGTAACACAGCAGTAACACAGCAGTAACACAGCTAGTCCAACAAAGGTGGAGCTGTTGTTACACTGACTATTTTGATTGATAATTTTAACATTGCTACATTCAGTGGGACACGTGTTAACACATCCACACACGATGCATTGGTTTCATGTTGCTAGGCAACGGAAAGACTTCCTTGGTCCATCATCTGTAGAAATGTCGTATTCCTCAGTCTCCAATTGTGCACAGACTGGGCCACTCTGAAGTTGGTGTAGCCCGCGGGCCGCTTCTTGAACACCAGACCTCGTAATCTCGTTAAGATGGAGCAAACTTTGAAGACTTGTAGGACTAGGAGGCGTAAAACGGTCAGTGACACCAACTGTGATTTCACAAGAGTTCTGACCTCACTGGTTGCTTTCTTAAGAGCTGGTCCACCTTTGACCTCCATGTGACAATAAAACAGAGGGAAACACCCAAGTTACACCACCGTGACAGAGCAGTCTGGGCCCCCACAGCAAGGCAACATTCTGAATTTTTATTTTTTTTATTTTAAATTGTCCCTTTCCACAAAACTCATCAGCACCAATGGCTGAAGCTGAGAACTGTCACAGGAGAACCAGTTTAATTGCTACTTGTCAAACACACACACACACACACACACACACAGGAGCGTGTTTCTTAGAGATAACCCGAGACTGACTGTAACAATGATGAGCCACGCTATCTGTGTCCTCCTGACAACCAGGCTAACCAGGCCAAACAAAGACACTCACCGACCTGTTAGCTCGGCCGATGATCTGTTCATGATGGCTGTGACCTCCGCTCGTTCCTGTCTCTGACTGATTGGCCTTCATCGTCCAACTAACACAGACCTCGGTCAAAACTGTACGATTTTCAACACGGACTTCTGCTCTCTGCACCAAACTCCACTCAACTAGCTTCAATTCCCTGCTCTTACGTACAACACGCGTCTATTTACTTAAATGTATGTTATTACCAACTATGTCAGCTTTTCATTTTGAATTCGGTGTCAATATATATGTTAATGTAAATGTTTACACTTTAAACAACATAATCACGATGAAGCTCGAAGCTCCTCGGCGTAGCCCGCAGAGTTAACGTTACAGGATTTGTGTAAAAGTTGAATTTAAATCATAGGAACCGAGTGTCAGTGTGGAATAGTGATGCCGAATGAATAAACTATGATAGTTCGATGTCAGGTACCGCTATTTCTAGTGTCTTGAGCTCATCAACAGCTGCGGCATAAATGAATGTGAAATTTCCAATGTGATCTGGTGTGAGGGTGTTCTCCGTTTACAACACGCCGCCGCAGGTAGAGATCAGGTTCCCTGAGGACCGTGTGTTGGAAATTAGATCAGAAACTGTTTTAATGGAAAATATGGGTTGTTGTTTTTTTACGGAGACCAGTCAGGGAGCAATGTGAATTGGCCTGAACACTGGAGCTCACCTGCAGGTGTGATTCAAAGTCGAGGACCGTTAGAAAAACATGGCTCAGACAGGAGGCTCTGACACAAGAGCTCTCCTTTCGCGGCTTCTCTGGCGTCTTTATCTCCGACACTGTCCGGAGTCCTCCAGCGGTTCCTCGGGCCTCCTGGTATCCAACAGAGAGAGTTCTCCTCTGCCTAACTCCACCTGCTCCGTCGGCCTCGTTGTATCCGACGAAGCTCCACTCTGGTTGTATTTCCAGCGGTTTCTCTTGGCTGCGTGTATCCGCCGCTAAGAGCTCGTTCCAGGGTCTTTTCACTCGGCTTCTTCGGCCCTTTAGGTCCCTGTCAGTGTGAGCTTTGACTCGGTTTAAACTCCACTTGACTCTGAATAGCGACAATGATAACCTGCTGCACTCACAGGGGGCGGGGCTTATCCCTCCCTCATAGTTTGATTGACACATTTGTCTCACCCTCTCCCATTCGCATCACAACTTATACCGTTCACAGATCACGTGGCGGTTGATAAGTATCGGTATTGTGAAAATAGCTAATCTTTGTGAACTCTATTGACAAATCACCATGAAAATACACATGTAAGTGCGCATGCGTACAACAGCTGATCTGTTTGGCTGCAGCTCCTGCCTCACATGCAGTGTTCAAGAACGTATTAGTCCAGGTGTTTAGTTGGTACATAATGCTGGAGCGCCCTCTGCTGTCTTTGCCGACACTCGCCGTCACCACAGAAACGCTTCCATGATTGTTTTGTAATCTCGACATTGTTTAAGTTGATGAGGTTTGTGTCTCCTGTTCGAACACAGTGTCTTTGTTTTGTTTTTTTCACAGTCTCTAACTGATAAAGGTACACAACTTATACTATCTGTCTGTGGAGGGCGTCGGAAAACATTGAACCACAAAAGGTAAAAAAAACGAAAGCTAAAGGTCTAAAGTATTCCAAATAATAAAGATTTAATATTAGCCAAGATAATGCAAAGATAAATAAATCTCTTAGCAAAAAACTAAGACCGTCACCAAAAAAGGCAAAAACACCTACAAGAGAGCAGTGAAAAATGAAGAAAATAATAGCTAAAATATAAACGTTAGCGAACTATATTAGCCCCAGGTTAACCAATGAGTTAGCTACTGAGCTAAAACGTAGAACTTACGTTAACGGTATGAAACTAAATAGCTAAAATGAGCTTTAAGTAAATCAAAGAAACACCAAAAGGGTTTAAAAAACTAAGTGGCTTCATCTGAAACTATTGTTGCATATGCTAACATCACCGTAGCTACCATTTCCATAGTTAAGATTTTTTAATTTTTCACCAGGTTTCTACAATTACTAGTACTGTAGTAGTTGTGTGACTGTACTCTACATATAGTGTTTAGTTTTCTTTTCTACCCAGTGTTGACAAAAACCTAATCACTATGTGATTTAATTTGATTTTCAATACAATTTGAAATGATTCTTGTTAACATAAACTCAGTGACTAATTATATGTATAGACCTGTAATTTACCCATTATATATTTTTGTGAGGATATTTTTTACATTTAATTCTAAATTTTAAAAAATCAACTGAGACAAACGTGTTTGTGAATTTGGGCTTTAGAAAGAATCCTGACTTAACTAAACACATTGAATGTCACATCGTAAACTTCATGTTGCTACAACACATTTTCAGACCCCTGTGTTGTTGAGGTTCATGACACATTGTGTCCACAAGAGGGCACTATGGATAATCCTGACTTAACTAATTAATTCCACATTGAATGTCACATCGTAAACTTCATGTTGCTACAACACATTTTCAGACCCCTGTGTTGTTGAGGTTCATGACACATTGTGTCCACAAGAGGGCACTATGGATTAAGACGGAGTCAGGTTCAAGACTGGACCTCGCTTCCCCTTCACATGTTTTTTCTTTGTTTTTATTTCAGATTCAAATTATTTTTATTTGACTTTAACGACAGAAACATGAGTCAAATGTGACGTCATTGTTTCCTCTCTGTTTAACACATGAACAATCATTGATGTCACTTCCACTTGCAGACTACTCACACACATTCAAACACACACCTGAGAGTCACACTGAGGCATCACAATGTTGATAGCAACACACACACACACACACACCAGCAGCATCGTGGATGAAAACCATTTCTGCAGCAACATGACGTCATCCTTTCACCGGCGTCTGGGTGTGACCTCAGTAAGTGATGGTCACAGTGTAAATAAGGTGTCCATGAGAGTGATTTACATTTTAAACTTACATGATTTATGTATAAATTTCTAATAAAATGGGAAATTAAAAAAAAAGTTTTTGTCTTATTGATTGATTTTCATTTATTGTGTTCTGTTTTTTTCAGTACATCATATTGTGGAGACCTTGACTTGTCCACAGGTCATGAGACACGTTTCTCCTGCACGTCCAGTCTCTGTGCCTTGGCTGACCCCTGCTGTTAAGTCCTGTGTAATGCAGCACGTGGAACATGAAACCAACACATTCTTTATATCCTGGCGTTGAATGGATGCTCCGGAAGAATTCTTTACAACGGTCAATCTCAGGAGACCTCGATGACCTCCATGCTGCCTGAGAAGCTCGACTGACTGCCGACCTTTCCGAGCTCCTCCCGCGACCTACTGTCCTTCATCCCATCTCCAAACTCCATCTGGCAGCTCCGCCGTTTCAGCTGCTTCTCAAAGCTGCTCTCCTCGTGCCAGCTCCTCCTGGAGTCCCCGCAATCGCCCGTCCGCGGCCGGTTGCCACGACGACGGATGGCTTCCAAGCCGTGACCGCAGGTGTACGCAGAGTAGCTGCTGCTGCCGCTGCCGCCACCACTCAGGAAAGAGGTGGAGTAGAAGCGCGTGGAGTCGGAGGAGAGGTACCAGCCTCCGGTCAGCGAGGAGGTGGAGACGGCGACAGGTCCCAGCAGAATGTCCGAGTGCCAGCCTTTCAGGGCGCCGCCGACTCCTGTTGCAATGTGCTGCTGGGACCGAGAGAGGCCAAAGAGGAAAGTGGTGGCGTTCTCTGTGCTGCCGCTGCGGTGCAACTGCTGCGAGCAGCTCTGAGCAGCGGGCGGAGGTTTGACGAAGGTGCTGGAGGTTGGCCGTGGTGTCTCCACCTCCTCCTTGTCGGGGCTCTGCTCCGGCGTGGACTGTTCTGAAACCTCTTCCACTGGTGAGAACTGACAGGGTTTACTTGTGTCTTTAAACACCGAGGTTTTGTACACCTCCGAGGACTCACCCGACGACGGGGTGAAGCCTCTGTGCGCGGGCACCACGCCTGTGTCGCCGAAGGACTTGATGTCCAGAGAGAAAGATCGTTTTAGCCGAGCGTTTTCTTCGGGTGCGTCAGTGAGCTGAAGGCCGCTGAGGGTCTGTGCTAATGACTGCTCATCAGGGGCATCTGCTAAAACGCAGGATAGCGTGAGAGGTTCAAGTACGGTGATATCTGTGCCCACAGCTGCCTCTGGAGAGGGCAACTCCAGGTCTTCAAGCAGGGACGATGCCTTGCCAACGGGCAGGGTCATTTCTGACTCTGGACTTTTTATCTTCTTCTCAAAGTCGAGGAGTTGACCCAGGAAGTTAAAGTTTGGCGAGATGGTCGGACGCTTCTCCTTCACAAACCTGTCAGGAGAAAGGAACAGCTCATTAGCGCCGGTCACCGTGAGTGTGTGTAATCAGTACTGACATGTTCAGTGGAAGGTTAACGAGGCTGCGGCTTGTTAGGAAGAATTGTTCACATTGTTCAGAGGAATGCGCTCGGTCCACTTTCGATGACACAAAACGAGGCTCCGCCCCCTCACTTGTCTATCTGAACCACTGCCACATCAAAAAGAAATTTAACCTGAGACAGTTTGAACTGAAACCAATCCGTATCCTGAGACAGGCGAATGACACCAGGTCATGTTCAGTCTGACGGTTGACGGTTGAAAAGCATAAATGTGAAACAGAAACGTTGTATTTGCTGAGACTGCTGCTGACCTGTACGCTTCGTCCAGCGTCATGTCCATTCTCTTCATGATGTAGGCGATGGCAATGGTGGCCGAGCGCGATATTCCAGCCAGACAGTGGACCAGGACACGAGCATTTGACGCTTTGGCCTTTTCTGGAACAGAGAGGTGGAGACTGAGCAAAAAGAACCAATCATGTCTCACGGTTGTCAGCGTGAGGCGACGTCTGACCTATGAACTCCACGGATCGGTCCAGCCAAGGCAGGATCTTCTCACAGAACGAGTCGTTAACGGGAACACGCAGGAAGTGGGAGTCGGGGATGAAGTCGGGTTTGGGACAGGTGTTACTGGCATTCAAGACGTAGGCAATGTCGTTCTGCTGCATCAGCTCCTGAAACATCAACACAGAGGTGGAACCGCAGTCAGAACCAGAATGAAAACCAGATGGAGAACCGGAGTTTGTGAACCCGAGTGGGTTAGGGTTACCTTGTTAAGCACGTCTCTCTGACAGCCCAGGTACAAGTGTGGCAGGATGCGCGTCGGCCCCATGTTGGTGATGGGGAGACATGGCTGAGACACGCATGAGGGAACCACGTTGGACTTCCCCTCGCACAGACCCGGAAACAGGTGAGAAAATTCAGAGAAACCACCTGAGGGACCAGAAAGACAGCTCTGGGGTCAGAGGTCAACCAAGACCTTGTCAATGACAAGACAGATGTAAATACCAGCGTGAGCAGGAAGAAAGACAGCTGAGTAAAACAGGGGTGTCAAACATAAGGCCCGTGGGCCAAAACAGGCCCTCTAGGGGGTTCAATGCAGCCCACGATGAATTTTGAAATTAAAAAAATGCACAAACACTTAAAACATAATGTTTTGTAAAGTTATATTTCATTAAATATTACTTCTTGGCATGGAAACTAAACATGGATTTATTGTTATTTACAGGTAATTATGTTATGATTGTACTGGTCCGACCCACTGGACATCTAACCAGGCTGAACGTGGCCCATGAACCAAAATGAGTTTGAAGAAAGACTCATACTCTGCTGCTGTCTCTGCATCTTAAAGTCTGAATACTGGGCCTTCACTGGACGGCTCTTTGTGTGCGTGTGTGTGTGTGTGTGTGTGTGTGTGTTCAACAATTCATGTCCTACTGACTTGTGTAATGATTTGACCCAAAGTGTTTTTTTGTTTTTTTGTCGTGAAGCTCATGAGCCTTTTGGTTTCGTTTACACTACAGGGCGGAGTCCTCACAGCAGAGCATTACATCATGGTTACATAACGTAATCCTGACTGGAAAGAGGAGAGGACGTCTGCAGATCATCTGCCTGTCCAGTCAAAAAAAAGAAAAACAGAGGGCGCTAGAAAAGTGAAACAGTGGCTTGGCTGAGGTCAGCAGGACAGCTGCAGAAATACTGCAGTGTTGTTTTTTATCTTATTGAAAGAAGTATTCAACCAAAGTGTATCTATTCCTGGTGACATCTGTGCCAAGGATAAGAAGACTCACTTTAAATGGAACATTGTGGTCAGTGAGATGACATTAACAATGTGTCCACTGGGTGTCACAAGTGCGGCAGTGCAGCCCACTCACCTGAGAGCAGGTGAACTGAAGGGAAACTCTTCTCTAGTTTCAGTAAAAGGACGTTGAGGAACAAGTCAGAGCCCAAGGCTGCCGGGTCTGAAGAACTCTGGTCGTACACCACAACTTCCTGGTCACCGTGGAGCTCCAGCTACAGTGACAGTGGAGAGTCAGTCTGTTTCTACCTTGAACCTCTGACCTGGAGGACAGAGGTCAGGGTTTTTTTTTTTTTACCTTTTTCTTGGCTGAGTGCTGCAGCAGCTCTGCGATCTGGACTTTATCCTGCTGCAGCCTCCTCTTCATCAGCTTGGAGCAGTTGACGTTCACGGCCTCCAGGATGTGCGACACGTTGTAGTCCACAAAAGGCCGGCTGTCGATCAGCACCACGCGATCCAGCCCGCCCTCCAGAAGAGCCACCAGAGCCTCCGCGCCGATGGGTCGCACCGTTGTGACAGGCCTGGCCATCCCAGATCTGGACCTGGAGCCCGGTGGCTCCGACATGTCA